CGGAAAACATTTGATGCGTTTTCAGAGTGAAACCTCGGTTTTCAAATTCCTCCGGCGTAGTGTGGACGGAAAACGTTTGATGCGTTTTCAGAGTGAAATCTCCGTTTTCAAATTCCTCCGGCGTAGTGTGGACGCTGCCTAAAAGGGTGGGCGGTGACTTACCGAAAAGCCGTAATGATGAAACCCTTCTCTTCGTCTCAATCTCCGTGAATTACCAAGCATTCCAGAAGAAAGGAGTTGGCAGAGGAGACCTGTTTTCCCATTAAGCTGGTTGGGTATCTCAACATTGAACGACAAACAAACCGAGTGTCTAACACGTGCAGCCAAGAGCACGTTCGACTTTACTGAGAACTCTTGTGGCGCTTATAAGTGGTGCCTCAAGCAAGTGATTTTCATGTTGTTCAATTTCGCAAAAATGGAAATTGGCTTCTGTCCTTCGGTTCACGCCCTCACCACATAATGTTTTTCGTTGAAACGCAAGATGTATTTAACCGAGCAAAAAGACGAGTTTTGGAGAAGTCATGTTTCGGAACAAATCGCGACCCCAAATGATGGTACTGAATTTTCTTTGAAGCTATAATTTCAAGATCAGTATAGTCAATTGAGCCTGTGATTGCCACTGTTTGCCTTATGATAAATGTCTTCCATTGGGAAAACAATAAACGCATTTGACAAAAGAAATTTACCTTCATTCAATCAAGTGAAATCTAATTAATATATGTCTGTGTACATTAAAAGCAACAGATTTTCATTTAGCTCGTATTCATGCCAAATAATGGAAACTCGTTGCAATCTATCTCAGACGGCGCCTATTGAATGGAACGGTAATATTGTTCAAAAATGAACACGGTTAAGGAAAATAGCTCAAATAAGACTACCTGTTTAATATTTGCCCATGAAATAGTACAAACACTTCCGGGGGGACAACTCCTTTATATGGGCCATGGGGGTCAACAAAGGGAATGGTTTTTTAGCCTCTCACAAACTTACCGTGGAGTGTAGACTGATACCGACCATGGCCAACTTTTAGCAGATTAGGGGCAACATGGAGTGGGGAAGAATTAATTATATGGGAGGCGTTATCATTCCTTCCAGTAGGAGTAACTTCATTCTTTATCGAGGTCCCTGAGCATAAAGTAACAAATGAAATACCTCTTCTGTGGAGGGATCAAATTGGAAAGAATTTCAGTTACCTTCTCCATCCCGCTTCCCCGAGCTAAATCTAAATGCAATCCCAGGGGCTAATCATGGAAATCGTCCGTCCTTGCAGACGGCCGGTGCGCCGGAAATTTGAAATCACCAATCAGGATTCAACAGGCAGGAAAACTGTACTGTCCTGTCGTCAAATGCATGTTAACAGCGAAGGCATTGAAGTCGGGCATCTTTTATCACTGGAGACGAAATTAAATATTCACGAAAAGGAATTTATAAAGAATATAACACAAACAGCGTATAACTCCCAAAAACCATGTCAGATTCATCTGCAGTGTGTAAAAGGCGAAAAACTTGAAACATTTTGTGTCTTCAAGCTTTTAATTTAAAACTGGGTCGCCTGCATTCGGCAACTCGCTCTTCGATCGCTGTCGCCAAGTAGGATAATAAGTGTGTCGTTTTGAACAAAACATGCTGTTGCTCGTAAAATTCAACCCAGAATTCGTTAGAAGAGACCAAAGCAACGCTGCATTGTCTTTATATTTGTTAGCAGCGAAAGAAACAGACTCGTCTCGGTAGGACAGCTCCGCTTTGACTGCCGCTAGCTAGTAATGCGGGCGCAGCCACCTTATGCAAGGAAGAGGTAAAGTCTGTATACGAGCCAAGAGGCCCATCAGGCCGGAGCTTATCCCGGTTTCCGTAGCATGAAGCGACTAGGAGTATTTCTACTCCCCCCTGGATGGGGTGCTAGTCCATCGCAGGGTTACCCCCAGCATTAAGTTCGCCGATACTCATTTATACGCCTGGGTAGAGAGAGGCACTGTGAGAGTAAAAGTGTCTTGCCCAAGTACACAACACAATATCCCTGGCCAGGGTTCGAACCCGAACCGCTCGATCCGGAGACGAGCGTACTAACCATGAGGCCACCGCGCCTCCTACAGAAGAGTTCCCACTTAAATCGTCCGTACGCTCCCAACTTCAGGGGATGGTAGTTTCACTTAAATAGTAGAGGTGGGGTGGGGTGATGAGTTGTAATCTTTATGGTCTGAAACAAACACGAGACAAATGATTCCGCCTTAATCGGTACAAACTTGCCTCCAGGGCCCTTTTATTTTATTTTATACTGGTCTTGAAGTGATAGAAGGGCCTGAGAACGAGATTACCAACAATATTGTATTTTGAATTTTCACGTTACTGGGAAAACAGTTATACATCTATTAAAATCATGATAATAAGCTATACTGTGCCTACAAATTATACTGTATGGACAAGTCACAAGTTGCTAGCTTAGGAACGGTTATTTGAATTCCTTTATTTTCTCCTCTAAATCTTGTTCGTTCGACCCGCTGAGTACGTGAAGCTGAAAAATAAAAGCAAAATTGAAGAAAAGTTAAAAGTCAGAATTAACGAAAGCAAAACGCGAAGAAGCTGGAGCGTTTAGCATCAAGCAGTGAAGAATGCTGCACCATTTTCACTGAAAAATTCTTGATTAATTTTGACAACTTTCAGAGGGTTTTCGCCGTTTCAAATGGCGACTCAGGAAAACTCCGAGAGACGAAGTTTTAAACTCGAGCGAGAGAAGTTCAGACCCTAAGACGCTCAGTCGTCATTTATAAACACAAAAAACTAATTGATACTTTCTTCGACCGCACAAAATATGGAGACTCCGAGACAGCTTTACGAGAAAAATCGAGATTGCGACACGCACTCGACGACAATTTTGCGAGGCCCATGGTTTTTGAAGGACAATGCGCTACCCCTTATATGGTTTACACGTCGAAAAAAGGAGCGAATGAAAGGAAAAAATTTACCCTATCGAATTTTAAAAAGAGGCCTTTTAATTATTGTTACCTTGTCCCCGTTCTTGATAAAGAAAAATGTAGGCATTACTTCGACCTTCTCTTCCTCTGCTAATAACTGAAAAATATATAAATCGTTCTTTACTTGTTATGAGGTGATTAAAAGGGACTTTGTCACAATATACGTTACCTTCGAATTACAAATGCTAATTTATTAAGGTGGAAAAATGTTAAAGAGGAAATAATAAAGTTTTGTTTCTTTTTTATTTTATTACGAATTTTTCTACTCACTTCAGCGTCATCGACATCCACTTTTGCAAAGATTACTTCTGGATACTTTTCCTTAAGTTTCTGACATGAGAAAAAAAAAATCAAATTAATTCATGAGCAGAAAATGTTAGTCACGTACCACAAGAAAGTAAGTATCGCATGTGCATCGAAAGTAATCTGGTATCGCTTTGGTCTTGTTTTAATGAGCTATGTGATTGGTTTATTTTGAAAACTTGAGCCATCTATTCAGCCAATCGAATGCAAGACCATCACCGCCGCCACCCGCCTTTTCCCGCGCTTGCCAACGGTTCGGAGTTCCCATTGGTTCACTGTCTAGACTCTGTGGGGATGATGTTTAAATACCTTAACGAGTTTGTTCCAGTGTACTTGCAGAACCCAACGAACAAAGCAGGGACTATGATTTGCGTAATCCTTTCGGTAAATTGACATTGCACAGACCGCCTACTAATTATTTGAAACGCAGTTTCAGTTACAGCAGTGATTTATTGCGGAATTCATTACCTGTGAACATCAGAGAGATTAAATTAAAGTCTGAAAAATATTCAGGCTTGAACGAGATTCAGTGAACCCATGACCTCTGCGATGCCGGTGCAGTGCTCTACCAACCGAGCTATCAAGCCAATTGGGAGCTGGTCACGGTTGAATTTTTTCCAGGCTTCAATTTCACAACTACATAAGTTGTGTATATAACTGCGATGAGCAATCATGTCTTCATGAGAAAAGAACTGTTTGGGGACAGATTAATATCACTGTATGGACTTACCCTCAAAAAGGGTTTTATCTTTCTACAAGGACCACACCACTCGGCATAGAAGTCAATTATAATCAGCTTATCCTTGTTGTCTGGACTTCTAATGAATTGATCATATTCCTGCTGTTAAAATATACGAAAAAAAACCCCATTAAACAGAGAATAAGCTAGGTCGGATACCTAATGGTTAGTAGTGCACTGGAAAAAACAATTACATGATTATCGTGGTATAAAAACAGTACTGTAAATGATTCGATTTAGCGCCCATCTCTATTCCCTATCATACAAATGTAGTGCTCTTGTTGTCTTGAGTACAGTCGAGTCTCTACTAACGGCCACCTCTCTGAACCGGCCACTTTTTCTGGTCCCGGCGGACAGTCCATACATTCACTCTTATTTTAACCTCTCTACAACGACCACCTCTGCACAACAACAACGGCCACTAAAACTCGTTCCAACCGGCCAAAATAACCTCTCTACAAGGCCAAGTTAACCATCGACTGACGAACGGTGTTTACAAAACCCCATTTTTAATCATTTATAGTAAAAGGCCATAAACTTGATCCGTGACGCGCGTCGTTAGTCTCTGTTTCTGTTTAGTTTCTGTTGTATTGATACGTTTTGATTTACATATGCTAAAATAAGCATTTTTTGACCAAAAAATGTAGCACCTCCGACAAAAAAAAAAAAAACAGGTGTCATATTACACCCTTACCTCCCCTAACGGTCACCTCCTCTGTAATGGCCACTTGGCTCTGTCCCGAAGGTGGCCGTTGTGGAGAGGCTCCCCTGTAGATTCTAATCATCACTTTTGCCCACTTATCACGACTTAAACTCGAGTTATTCTCGTCTGTTACATAGCAACAGCTAAAGAGAGCTACCTTAAGGATCAGTGTTGCATTTTGAAAACGTAGCAATGTTTTCAATTTCCTCGTTCGTAATCGATCTCAGTCGATATCTCGCCAAATCTTAGTCATTTTCAACCTCGTTCCCAGGGGGCGGTAAGATGAGAGACCCTGTGAAGGAGGTTGAGTCTTTTTTTCCGTTTTCGGTTTGTTGTCACTTTCTCAAAGTTTTTGTTGTCATAGTTAGCGTTTCTTTCCAGCTTTTCTTCAACGTAATTCAAACTGGTTTATACGCACAAAACAGTCCTTGACATATTGTGTCGTAGCTCAAAATAACTTGAATTTATGTTCTTAGGAATACAGGAGGAATATCGTTTTAGTGAGGCTGTTACTTCCTCATCAAAGAGAGAGACCTGGGAACGAGGATGACGTAAAAGAATTATTTTGTAACGTCATACTTACGTAATTAGCAAACTGAAAGTCACGGAAACTACGTGATAAAGCTTTTCAAAAAACCTTCCTTGTCTATTTGTCACGAAAATTCCAATCGGTTGTTTATAAAATACCAAAACGCCAAGACCTGGAAAATGGGCACGTTAGAGTTGACTCACAAATATAAAGACTCAAGTTGTTAAGGTACACTGTACTAAAGGTTAATTTAACCACAGAACATAAAAAATTCGTGCTACTTGTAATCCTCGATTAAAAGGTTAATAAAAAGATTTCTTGTCGCGAGCGGAGAAAAGGTCCTACCGTATACAACTTTAAGCTTGCTATCACCCAATTTTTTTGGTCTTCCGCCGCGAATTGGGCTTTAACGACTACAAGAGTGGGCGATCTAACTTAGGTCAACGTCTCTAGACGGTTTTAAATTATCCACAAAAAGCAATAAAGTAATAATGCTAATTAGATTATTTAGTCGGTGCCCTTAAGTTAATTTTGCTTTCTAGATTCAAAGTTGCAGAAGTTTACTTGAAATTCCTGCAGTTTCCCATTCGACCTAAAGTTTTGTCGTTTTTACTTGTTTTGTAAGAGGTAACGTGCAGTTTTGTTCAAAACTTTCTTTGGTGTTAAGTCTTCAAATGATCGATCGCTCTTCGATAGTAGGCGACCGCTTCGAATTAACGTAAACAACATTTGTTACGATCTAACTCAACATACCCTGTTTGTGATCTCTTCCATGTCCTTCAGAATTTGTTAAAACTTGTAGATTTCCACAGCAAAGCGGCTTTCAAGGATCGTGATTCAATCTGGAGATCAAATGACAAACTAAGGTTTTAGCGTGTCGTTTGTTTCATCGGCGTCTCAAGCTTAAAAGATTACCATTTTAAGTGATCGCCACGTTTGCCACTTGTTTTGTTGTCAAAGAGATGACCTGAGGCGAATGTCATAACACAATGTCATAATTATCTCACACTTATTATAAAGTCGACAAATTAGAGCCATTGGATTTGGCAACTTGAAACCGTATGTTTACCTTCCAAAGACATATTCTTTGATTTTAAGCTGCCAAAACCGATCGACAGAGCTCTGTGAACCTACCTGAGCAGAAGATTGCCCAGTTGATTGGTCAACCTACGACTAAACCTAATGTAAATACAGGCTTGCGCTCCGACTCAACTTGAGTTAAAATTTCTTATTCAGTCAGTTCTGATTTGCAATAAGCTTATGAATATTATATTAAATAAAATGTATGTCTTATTCTAGCGAGATCATACCTGTAATAATTATAACAAACTCAAAACTTTGGTCACCAAGTCCACCGGTTGGGATCTATTGTGATTATGTAATACGCATTAAAACAATTTTTGACAACCAATATATCATCTTTACATCAGTGTGAAAATTAGCATTCATATGCTTCATTGCTGATAAGTTTACATAATAAGATAACAATGCAGAACGTTTGTTAATTAAACGAGAGGAAGAAAAACTGAACGAGTAACCACGACTGTAAAACGAGTGAATACGAATGCACGCCGAGTTTACACGAACGTAAGACGATTTTGCAGCAAGGAAAAACCGATAGACACGAACATAAACGATTAAACGCGAGTGCAAAAAGAGCGAATGAATTAGTAAACAAAACCACAAAAAATCACAAAACGAGCGAGGACAACTACAAACTCCCAGATAATGCGACTACAAAACGAAGTAAAACGCGTGGAAACGATTGGGAAATGACTGAACACAACTTCAAAACGGGTTCGCACGACTGCAAAATGCATAGACGACTGCAAAGCGATTAAGGGAAACTACAAAAAAGCCATCGAAAAAGGATTGAATACGACTGCTAAACGCATGTTCACGACTGAAAAACGAGTGAAGACGATGAGACATTCATGCAATGGCTAAGACTCAATACAAATCTTTTCTTCTGTACAGGATATAGATTTTACTTACGTATTTTTTCCCTGCGATTCCGACCTATTTCCACCTTGACGCTACCAATAATTTCAAATTTATGGTTCGCCCCCTAGACAACAAATAAAAGAGAGATTTAACTATCTGTGGTTTATATTATTGCGTTTTTTTTTTTTTACCTCCAAACGACTTCCTGGATCCATTTTCAGTCGTCAATTACAAACAGTACAGCCACTATTCAGTTTATTTGTTTTTTTACTGGCTAAGAGTGTTGATGTAACCTGCTCGGTCTGTTATTCTAGTAGCCAATAGCTAGCCTTGTTCTGAAAGGTAGTTAAAGACGCGCTTTTTGCTATGCCAGAATATTTTATTATGTATGTTATAATTGAAAAGCACAGCACAGTTCCCGGCCCCATGATGAATGCTATTTGAAAGGAAGGCATTGTCCGCAAGGCCAAATGGCTAGCGATACAAATGATAAGATAACCGACATAAGAAAATTAAAATTCGAAAGTGCATGAAAGGGCATATATTAGATTAAAGTTAATGACACGTCTGGAAACAAGATGGCTGCCCCATTGCACAACTTGACAGCTGATTTTTGTTAGTTTATTCCTTATTTCGTGCAAGTAGTTAAATTTTTTGTAAACAGTGCTTTCTTATCGAAACACCTATTGAAAAAATTATCTAGATTAAAACGAGATTGCATTTACCTTTTTAATTCCAATTCTAAATATACACAGTTTAAGATGTCTATTTTGACGGAAGATGGCACCAATGTTTACAGATTCCTCACCTAATTTGCGTTTTTTTTTTTGTATTGCATCGTAGCTTCGAACTGATTTCCTGGAGGGTACGAAAGTCCACAATGAATCAATATATTCTGTGAATTTTTCGATTTCCAGTAATTGAAGAATGGCAATATGCAGGAAACGAAAACAGTGTCATAAATGGAGTATGCCATGAGCGCCTTTGGAAAACCTATGCTACGGTCGTCGACAGCTGCTTTCTCCGGCGAAAACAACACGATATACGGTAGTTCGTTTTGATTATTTTTAACGTTATAGTCGAGATTTCAACTCGAGTATTTCTAAATCGTCTTAGAGAACGGCATAATTTATTTAGAAAACATGACCCTGAAGAAGTTTCAGTTAATTCCATCTTCAATCGATCGCTCGCATTTAGATGAACCAAACATCAATTATACAGTCATCTTCAGCATGTATAGGAACTGAATGGAAACAAAAACATTCAACCCACGAGTGCAGCCGATCGATCACCACTCAACACAAAACTTACCTTGTGTTTTAGAAAGTAAACTTGGTCATTATCTAACCAGGTTGCCCTCGACTATTACCTCTCGTTGTCAACAGCAGTACGTTTTTACGTCGATGTTTTCGTTTGTGATGCAGATGTTTTCGCTGAGAGTGTTATGTTAAACCGAGCTATTTGCGTTTTTTTTATTACACTAAGAATGAATCATTACGAATAACCCATGTTAGAAGACAATACTTTACGCCAATTAATATGCTCCCTCCTCTCTAACAAGCCTTCCGCTGATTGGGCGAAACTAATGTATTTGTCAGATAGCTTTTCTTAATTCAACAACGAAGAATAACTTCGCATTAATTACTGAAAATGAGTTTATAATTCAGACAGAAATATCAGTTCAGATTTTAAATCAGGTACAAACACGACACAATCGGTAAATGGATAATTTGTTTCAAACATGGCTGCAAGTTTGTTAGGTTCATGTCAAGAGTATTTGAAGAAAAGTGTTTCCCTTCGACTAATGTTTAACAAAAGATGTAAGGAGTGTAATGTATGTTTTAATTAACAGGAAGGTGCTATGAAGTTTAAATTATGAAAGCTGTATCTACAGAGTGTAATTTATTTTGCGGTGTGTCCGCTGGTCAGTCGAACCTTTTTAGCGTATTAAAGGAGCTTAGTCACAGTATTTTGAGTTATTTTAGCCACGTACTGAATTATCGTTAAATTGAAGGAAACCTGAAAATAGTAGTTTATACTAAGATAGAAAAACACCAAAGAGATAATAATAAACCATACAGGAACAAGGATGGTTAAGGATGGAGAAGATTAACACGGATTTCAAACGACGGTTTTGAAAAATTTAGGCCAAACTTTTTAAGATGCCCAAACCGTGAAGTAGCTCCTTTGAGCATTTCAAACGGATGAAAAACAAAATTCGTTCTTTAAAATTATTCTCTTTTCTGTTCATATGCTACCCGTGTTAACTCATCGAAGCGAATTTCAGCGAGTGTTAATTGCTTTTTTTTTGGAATTGCGAAGATCAAGCCACTTCAGATCACAGAAGCTAATTAGTATGAACGTCGACTTGAAATTAGCCTGCAAACAGGCTCCCGGCGAGGGCGGAAAAAAATCCGGCGAGCGAAGCGATGCGCATCTCATGCGCTCTCCCTCATCACCAGACCGCTCTCGGCTAGCCCCAATCGCCCTAGACCACACTCGCCAGCTCGCACTTAACCCAACCAGGAACCTGTCCGCAGGCTAACTTGGGATGGACTTGGAGAAAATGCAGTGAATCGATTCATTTTCGGTCTTTTCAAATTCTCTTTTTCTTCTGATTCCAGGATCCAGAGATGGGAGTTTAAGGTGAACTGTGGAAATCACATTTCCGCCGACTTCAAGTTCATTTTCAAGATCGAGTGATTTTCTTCACTTTATTGTTATCGGTTTATTCCGTGCATTAATTATCTGACGTATCTGATGTTTAGTACGGAACACAGGAACTCGATATTGCTTCTCAGTCACAATTAAAGTAGATAAACCAAACCCAGTTGCCGGGATGCAGATAAATAAAAGATCAAGATGTTGGAACAATTACAACAATATCTATAGAGCCGAAGGAGAGGAAATTAAAGCAAAATAATAGCCTGCGGTGAATTCAAGGTCAGGGTCGGCCAGGGTTTTGTGCATACAGGGGATTTTAAATCGAGTGTACGGTATTTTGACGCCAGAATTGGGCCTCTTGTGGGAATAAAGTTTTCCTTGTTTTTTCCAAATTGTGATATTTGCATGAATTCGAGGGAAATTTTGGGTATAATGGTTTTTCTTTTCAGGTACATTAGCATACCACTACCCCCATGGCCAACCCTGAAAAATTGCGATAAACGCTGTGAGCCTTATCGCGTATTTAATCTATAAAACCCTAGAAAGTGCAGTCAGCTGCTTAAATTAAAGGTTCAATCTACCTTCATAATATTTTTTAGCATTTTCATTATTACCTTCACCATTGTTATTGTAATGTCAAAATTTTCGTGATACTCATCAAAACTATTTTCCAAGAATAATAATTTCAGATAATATGGATTATTCAAGACGGCTGTCTTTATCTCTGTTTTACATTCAGGTCATTTTGCCATTCGCATGTGGATGCCAAATTTAAGGAATAGTATTTTTTTTTTTCATCCAGCTTGTCTTGTTGAGAGACGCATGGGAAAAGTCAGCTTCACTAAGAACGTCAGTGTTGTATGGACTGTAGAAACTCCGACTTAACAACATTTGACTCCTTAAAATATAATTCCGAGAAACTCAACTTACTGGAGAAAATACTCTGAGAAAATACGAGTTCTTTGCTCCATGAGTTCCTCTGTGCATGCGTCCAAGTTGGTCATGTGCGCTATGCATGGCTCGTTTCCAGTCCCTTTCCCCATGTCCTAATTTGCGAAGTCGATCATAAAGGGGCAGGGGAGGGGTAAATAATAAAATAATTTAGTTCTTCTATTATAACTAGGCATACAGGATCGACGGTAAATCAGGAATGTATGGAATGATCGAAGGAAAAGTCAAAATCAAAGTTTACCAAAGTAGCAACACACCAGAGTTTATGATAAACCAAAAATGGAGGGGATTATTAAGATTTTGATAGACTGAGATGGATTCATAATTAAATTATCACAGCACATTTTATATCATCATCGTTGATATTGCTATTGCCACTTCTCGATCTTCTCTTTCAGGCTTGTTTCATTCGCTCCTCTGACGTCATCCACCTCCTTGAATTTAAATATTGAATGTAAATTAGAATTGAAAGTTGTAGAAAGCAGAAAGGTTAATCTTGTGGCAATTTTCTAATGCTTAAATTCTTA